AGAACTACAGTGACCAAGATCGTTCTGCTATTACTAGTGAACTCGACAGTACGTTAGTCCGAAGGTCGACTAAGTACAGTACACCAAAGCTCGTAAGCAAGGTAATTCCGTGAGGAACCACAAGCAATGCCGTAAGAACCCACAAAGCGTGACGCCCCCTTGGTGGTGTGACGCACCAATCGATTACGCTACAGGGCGAACGAGATTAGAACTGCATCCTAAGTCTAAGGGAATGTCAAGCGATCAAGTCAGCAAGTTACAAGGTCTACATACCTCCCTGCCTAGCTTGACATCGTCCCGTGACTAGGATAAAAATGTCGACAATCGTATAAAGAATCAAAGCAAATTTAAAACAGATACAACGAACCAAGCGACAATACGAAGGTCAGAAGGTGATGTGATCAAGATCACCGAATAACCAACGAAATTATCACCATCCACGGCGAGCGCGTCGTCCAAGGCGCAGCCAAAAACGGGTAAACCGAAGGAAAGAAAATAACAGGATCCGAAACAAAACAGAGTGAGTGGGAAATGACGTTGCAGAGAACGAAGAGACCATTGAAGACCATCGAACGGGGATCGAGGTAAGTGACTATGCAGAGCCTAGGATAGCAGAAAGCCATCACCAAGATCATCAGTCTTCATCTCTTTTCTCGAATACAGTTAACCAGGGGCAAACCTCGCCGGAAGTCGGGGCTGCCGCCGAACACGATCTCGAGCCAAGGTCCACTGTGGAGGCAGGTCATTGACAATAGGTTCCACCGGAACATCATCTTCTTCCTCCTGGGCAGACTCGAACTCAGGTTGCAGATTAGCAGACGTAACATCGTTATCATCATTCGGAGATCCATTATCAGTATCAGTGATAAGATCATCGGAATCATCTTGACAATTTTCATCTCCGAGAGGACGAGCATCATTATCGTCGTCGGCAGAAGAATCTTCGTCAAGTGGGGAAGTAGCATTATCCATGTCGTTAAAAACGTTGACGTCATCTATTGTTGCGTCAGCACTAACTTCATCTTCAATCTCCTCCCCTCTTGAATCAGAAAGGCCGGGAGACAAGATCGGCGAAATAGGGGTAGCCTCATGAACAGCTTCGGGGGTAGGTGCAAGCCTCTGTGGTGTTGAGGGATTAGAAACACTCTCTGACCGGAGAATGGACGAAGTCCCAGAACCAACAGCAACCTGGGGGTCAGCAGATGCTGCATCCACAGCTTGTGTTACCAGTTCCGCAGTGATAGGATACTCCATAGTAGCAACAATAGGCAGATCGGGATCTTCAAGGACATCGGGGTTGACATCGGGGATAATAGCTTCTTCAAGAATAGCACCTTCATCACCATAGACGAGTTTTGCGACATCGGCAGATAGGTGATCAGGTTGTATCGGGTCGATCAACAAATGGTCGACACTAATAATCTTACGTCGCTGCGTAGCAGGATGGACAATTTCTAAGGTCTTGTTATGTAAACCAGGGAGAGCATTAGAGACGTACCAGTTTCCCTCCCATCGAGGATCTAGTTTGTTAGACCGAGCAGGGCCTAAGGTCTCTAAGCGGACCCTTAGTCCTGGTTTAAATAACCGCAGCTTAGACTTAGAATCGAAGGTAGCCTTGTACACAGATGCAGCATGAGTGACACATTCATCCACATTGTCGAGGATCTTAGCACGAGTGGCACTTAGATAGCGGGCGTACGAGTCGGGGTCGAAGAACCTCGTCTCAGTGCTTTCTAAATCAGGGAACCATAGGTCTGGTGGGGAGCGTCCATACATCAAGTAGAACGGTGATGCTTTAGTCGCAGAGTGAATACTTGTATTGTAGTACCAAACCATAGAGCCAAGATGTCGTTGCCAATCATAGACAGAATCAACATGTGTCCGTAGCATCTTCAGAAATGTCTGATTAAAGCGTTCCACAAGGCCATTACCAGCCGGGTGATAAACCGAACTCTTGGACTTACGCATGCCAAGCAGACCCAAGGTCATTTTAAATAACCATGATTCAAAAGGCGGACCTTGGTCAGAGTGTAGTCGACGAGGGGGACCGAACAAGAGGAACAGTTGGAAGAGAGGACGTGCCACGTCAAGCCATGTATGTTGTCGTAACGGAACCACATGAGCCCACTTCGTAAAGTAGTCTTGGAGAACAAGTAGGGTCGCGATGCCATCGGGGTTAGTTGGAACGGACAGAAGGTCAACCGCAAT